AATGAACAGGTAATTCTTCATCTGTGAATTGAAAAAAAAAAACCACCACCAAAAAACAAAACCAAAAAACCAAAACAAAACAAAAAAACACAAAAAAAAAACCCAGAAAAAACACCAACTGATGGAGCATATAACTCAGCCTCATTATAGGCCAGTGTATATGGATTTCTCACTATTGCATTGACTGGTTTTGATACTGTAAACTATGGCATTTGGTGACATCTTGTGCCAGGGTATTTCATTCCCTGTGAGGGAGAGTGGTTCTGTTGGCTTATGTGCACAGCCTTGTCAAGTCTGAGACTCCTAAAAAATAATTTCTTCCTTGCAGACCAGTCTGTTACACCAAAGCAGAAATTTCAAGACTCTCTGCATCACAAATTCGGAATCTTAATCCTGTGTTTGGGGGATCGGGACCAGCTCTTACAGGACTTCGTAATCTAGGGAACACTTGCTATATGAATTCCATATTACAGTGTCTGTGCAATGCACCTCACCTGGCTGATTACTTTAACAGAAACTTGTATCAAGATGATATTAACAGGTAACAATCTCTTATTCTCATCCTGTAACTTACAATTCAAGGAAAACAATCTGCCTTTACAATTGTTAATTCAAAAGAAATCACTTAGTGGAGTTAAGGGAGGAGTGTGGGGTTTTTTTTAAGTAGGAGACAAATGCTAGCTTATGAGAGTCTTAACATTTTCAAAATTCATGTGTGTGACAAAATAGGTTTTACTGGACAGTCTTTATTAAATTGTGCTTACCACATTTATGAATATAAATGCACTAGAGTCTCCTAAAACCGAACAGAATATTTACATAGCAGTTTACAAAACAAGCTGGAAAGAGCTGTAGCTTCCATCAGCCCAATAGGGAACCGAATTACAGTGCCAAAGTAGACAAAAATGTTAACTCAGTGTAGCAGCCAGTTTTTCTTGGTCTAAAGAAATTACTTTGAAATTGGGATAATATCTTGAATTAATAACAGTAATGTTAAAGTTATTTGAAGAGCTCATTTTTGGTTTTTTTGTCTGATTAATTGTATAGGTCAAATTTTCTGGGCCATAAAGGTGAAGTGGCTGAAGAGTTTGGTGTAATAATGAAAGCTTTATGGACAGGACAGTATAAATATATCAGTCCAAAAGACTTTAAAATTACAATTGGGAAGATTAATGACCAATTTGCAGGATATAGCCAACAGGACTCCCAAGAATTGCTTCTCTTTCTAATGGATGGCTTGCATGAAGACCTAAATAAAGTAAGCAATACACTTGTAACAAATTATACATCTGTCAGATGATCAAGAGAAATAAATTTTAAAAAGACCCTCTTATTTCATAAGAAGATTATGTTACTGGAACCTTGTATGGAAGGAAATGCGAGTATTCAGAATTAAAGTAGGAATTTAGTTTGAAACAGGATAAGGTACTGAAGAGAGTAATGGATGAACCAGACAAGAAATGGATGGCTACACTGACATATTTAAATATTCTTGCAAATATTCAATAGTATGCTTGCCTATAGATGAGACTTCCTATTTTTAGGTCTGTTAATATATGGCTATGGTATTTAAACTTCTGTTATCCAGGCTGACAACAGGAAAAGATACAAGGAAGAAAACAATGATCATCTTGATGACTTCAGAGCAGCAGAACTAGCCTGGCACAAACACAAACAGCTCAATGAATCCATAATTGTGGCGCTCTTTCAAGGCCAATTCAAATCTACAGTGCAGTGTCTTACATGTCACAAGAAGTCCCGAACCTTTGAAGCTTTCATGTATTTGTCGTTACCACTTGCATCCACTAGTAAATGTACACTGCAGGTATGGTGGAACTAGAGAGAAACAGTTCTTGAATTATAAAACATTTCTCTGTGACTTCATTATGATGTTGCTTCTGCTCAGCCTCTTGCGGAAGGGGTTGGTCAATATTCCCGCTTCATTTACACTAACCCGAAACATGAACAGATCTGAGTCTAAAGTTTAAAAAAATAGGTCATTCCTTAAAAGTTTTAAAATACAAGCAGGATGGAAATATTGAAGCCACAGTAGCAGAGAAAACATGTATAGTATTTGCTTTTGTAGGTCATAATATTTTGTGTTTTTTAAACAAAATATTGTAGGTATATTTTGAAGGATTTGCAGCTAATTAATGCATGCAGTAAAATTTACTTCCACACATGGATTTAACTCACTTTTCCTCATTTTTGGGAAACATAGCACGCAGATAATTGATACAGGTTAGCAAACAAATATTTTTGCTACACTTTCATAAACACCTGTCCCTCACAATCTGTGTTTGTATTTTGTTTTAGGAATGCCTTAGATTGTTCTCCAAAGAGGAGAAGCTCACTGATAACAATAGGTTTTACTGCAGCCATTGCAAAACTCGAAGGGATTCTTTGAAAAAAATAGAAATTTGGAAATTACCCCCTGTTCTTCTTGTGCACTTGAAACGGTAAGAGAAACAGTGGTTGATGAAAATTAATTAGGATGAAGTGACCAGGCTTTGATGGAAATTGATTGTTCCAGTGCAATAGCTAACCATTTTTAATTAGAGAAAGTTCCGGATGTATTTCCAGTTGTAATGTTGCAAGAATTTTATTTTCATCTGATGCCTCTTTTATTAGGCTGTAGTTCACAAAGTGCTTTTAGAAGTAATCTCTTTTCATTTGCATTAAGAAACATGTGTAAGCATTAACAAAATTGGGGGCCAAATGGCTAGTCGAGATCATGTCCTGGTTAAAACCAGGGAAAACAAACATGCTTAATATTCTTAAATAGCTTGTGAACAACCTGTAACTTTTAATGATGCTTTTTAATTCTCTAGATTTTCCTATGATGGAAGATGGAAGCAAAAGCTTCAAACTTCTGTGGATTTCCCATTGGAAACTCTTGACCTTTCGCAGTATGTTATTGGTCCAAAGAATAACTTGAGGAGATACAATCTGTTTTCAGTATCGGTTAGTAACCACGTCCCAGTTCAAAGTTCAGCTGGTCTTTACGCCAAGACTTGGGTTAGCCTGTGTGATTCATCTAGGTTTCCAGGCTGCCTACCTAGTTGAAGATTAAGTTGTATTCTAAAAAGAATGATTGGTATTTAGTAAAAATCTTACATTCTAGTTTACTTCCCTAACCAGGGAAGAAATGGCAGCTTTCGAGGCCATTAATTCTTTTCTTCTTATGTTTACAGAATCATTATGGTGGGTTGGATGGAGGGCATTATACAGCCTACTGCAAAAATGCTTCAAAACAACGTTGGTTTAAGTTTGACGACCATGAAGTATCTGAGATCTCAGCATCATCTGTGAAATCCTCAGCTGCATATATTCTCTTTTACACCTCTTTTGAACAGCGAGCAGTGGATATGGCCACGTAAAGTAGTGTGGGTTAAGAAAACTGTTTTTCTTTTTATAAGAGCAAAGTAGGTATGGGAATGCTTATAAATATGCAAAAAACTATGACAAACATAGTCACTTACAGATATGGGGATGGTTGCAGCAGCTTTTCTGCAAGCAAGCTCCTTCTGGTCAGTACTAGTGCTTAAAATCCAGAAGACTGGTTAATAATGCTTGTGGTAATACTGCCATCTGTGAAACCATTTAAAAAGCATACTTGCATTACCATTTATTTTAAAAACAACTATATTTTTAGTCTGCTCCAAAATTAAATTCTAGCTTAGTCATCTGAAACCTATTAACAAGTAGTTTAAAATGTCTTAAAATCCCAAGGCATATCTTGATTCTCTGTCTTTCACTGTTATGGCCTTTTCACATTTCTAACCTTAAGCTTGATTCTACTGTGAATACTCTAGAATGATGTAAACAGTTAGGAATGTAAGTGTACATATTGATTGCATACTTGCACATCAGAACTATGTATATAATAAAACGTTGTCCTTTTTGTGAGAATCTGTAAAACTCAAGAGGATTGCGTTTATTTGCCAGCTCTAAGTAATTGCAACACTACTTAATAAAAAGCAGGGCTGTATTTTTTTTTCTGTTAGCTTTTGTCAATATTTGTGCATTTCAGAGTTATTCTAAACAAATAATATTTTCCTTTTTAATTTTTTAATATAAATTTTCATGTACACATGCATAAAGACCTTAATGAAGAAATTATTTAAAAATATATCCCATTAAATGTATGTTTGGGTTTGGTGTTTTCATTCTCAACTAGTTGTGTAATGGTCAGGATTCTACATAATGACAGTCTGAATCATATTTACACAGTTTAAAGGTTCTTCAGACAAAAAAGAAAAACCCTACTTTGTGTAGAACCGATTAGTTTAGAAACTATTTTAGTTGCATCTTGTGCATTTCCCTGCTTTGGATTTGGGTTAGTCTTCCCACTCTGATTAGGCTGGCATTCAAAAATCTGAAATCCTACATTCTGAGCTTTTATCTGCCTACATGCCTGTGTCTTGCTGATGGAATTAAGACCAGGATTGATTGTTTTCCAGAAGCTTACAAGCTGCAAACAAATTTGCAGTGCTAGAGGGACAAAAATGACAGTACTAGAATAATGCCTTTTTCTTTCTTTTATATTAACGGTCACTTCATCCCCAGTGCTCTTCTGAAACACATTCCCTCAGTGGCCTGGTTGTGTGCTTCCACCTTAATATACTACTGTCAGTTTCTGAAAGGCAGCTTAAAACAACATAATATACTTAACCAACAGAGAAACAGGAATTTTTCAGTAAGTGCATCTGTATGCTCAGCATTTCTGTTCTTTTGAGGGATGTATGAGGTTTGTCATGGAAAACAACCATTCGACCTTGTACAAACGGACCAGATGCATGTTCCTTAACAGCCTCGGAAGCTGTAACACCTCTAGGAATTGCTTCCTGAAAGACCACAACAGATGATCAAGTCATGCAAATGCTCGAGTTTATTGGTGAAACAGGACTTGGCTAATGCTGCCAATAAATGCTAATTGCTGGCCTATTCACTGTTTATTTTCCATGGCTAGCAGATTTTTAATGGGTACAAAGAAGGCCTTAACAGGTAAAGAATAGGAGATAAGCTGTGTCAGTCTGCACTGAGGAATCTGGGATCTGGGTGATCTGTGCATCATCAAAGCTGTACCAGTTTTTGGTGGCTGAGTGCTTGCAGAATGCTGTGTAGTGGCCATCATCCAGAAAACCAAAGTGGTTCTGTAACAAACAAGACAGTCTGTTAAAACGGAAGTCTCACTCTTTCTCCTCACAGGCAAAGCTAGGAATTGGCAATCATTTTTTGTTTGCACTTGGAAGAGATGAGAGAGAAGATTCTAGCCCCCTTTTTGGCCTACAGCAGGGAATGTTAATTCAAATAAATGCTTTAAAACAGAGCAAATAGATGATGATTATACTTCTCTATTTTGGAATATTAAATTTGCAACCCAGCTATTAGCCCTGATACAGGTCTCTATAAGTAGGCCCCACTTGCAGTGAGGAATGGAAAAAGAGACCATTTAGTCCTTATTTATAAACAGGATCCATGTAGCATCAGCTTCTGAGTTTATGCTGGAAACGCTGAGGGGGCTCCAACCAGGCATTATGTGCCAGGAGCTTATGCTTTTTAAAAATGGGATGTGGAGGGCAGAAGGAGAGAGAAGTGGTAACTTCTCTCTTCTTCGGTTACATACTGTTACTGGATTATGCCCATGGCAAGGTAAAAAAAAAAAGTGTATGAAAAACATATATACATATATATATATATACAGTCCAAACTAACACAGGCTTAATCTGCTCCATGAGGCAGAGCATTACAAATAAAAGCAGGAAAGGCAAAGCTCACCACTACAGCACACAAGCTGTACTCTGCATCTTTGCAGAGAAGTGGGGAACTGTAGGGCGAGAGAACCGGATTGCTGAGTGGAAAGCAGATGTCAGTTGAGAGCTTCCTTTTGCGGTTGCCTTGCCATTCAAACCTGAAATAAAAGTTTGAACTATTTTAAATAACACTCAACTTCTTTCTTGCATTGTGGTGGTTGCTTGGCTGACTTTTCTAGGGAAGGGAAGAGCAATGAATGACTACCCAGCATTTTGAAAGATCTGTATTAATGGGGAGCATTACAGTAAACTGACACAAAACGCACTAAACCCACAAGAGCTGTCCAGCGAAAAAAACAAAGCTCTTGCTTCCTGATCCTTCTATTAGAAATGGACACAGGTGCCAAAAGCAGCCAGAAGTCAAATCCCTGCATCACTCTCACTGTGTCCTAAATGTTTTGAACTGCACTGCTGTTGTCAGCTCTTTCGTGCCAGGCTCCATCCCTCTTTCCTCTATAACTTTCAGTACAGCACTACACTTTTAAACATTTATAATGTGGCCAAGGGCTGCAGCTCGGGACCACAAGTTCCTCTGAGTGTGTCAAGGAAAGCAGATGCTGATTGGGAAATTAAATAACAACTTTACATAATGTAGTTCTGGGAAGCCAAATCATCCCAGATTAGTTTTCTTTATAGGTGGGAAGTTGTTAAGAATAAATTCTTAAGAATAAATGTAGCATCTGGCCATGTGTGTAGTAATGTCTGCTAATCAGGAGCCCTTACACTGGTGCACCTCTCTATTTAGTAGACCCAGTTGTTTAGACCTGATTTAGTTAGGGGATACACAAAAATACAGTGTGTCAGCTGCAGTAATGACAAGCAAAACACCCTGTTTCAGTCCTGCACTTAGAACCCAAGTCACAAGCTCTCCCACTTGCCACAGGAACTTGTATTTGCAGGGACGTCTGACCATATGAACCACTGTACTAACCTGTAGTCAATCACTCCACGGTGGAGTTTTTCTTCCCTTTGGAGAAGAGACCCCAAATGCAGTGAGTGAAATTTGGTAGGCTGCAGCAGAGAGTAAGGCAGAACACCTTGTCTGAGATTTCAGGAATGCAACTTGCATGTTTAACAGGTACAGTTCTGTAACTGCCCATTTAGCTTCCAGGTATCAAAAGTACTAAAAACTCATTTGCCGTGATCCCCCCCCTCCTTTAATACAAATGCAAATGACTGTCCTTCACGTCTCAGAAATCCCAGGAAATAGCCATGTCCTACCCCATACAGACTGTACCTCTTTAGGTGAAAAATAATGATCTGCGGTGCCTTGGTTATGGTAGCCTTTACTGCAGCATCTTGTTTTGTTCCACACCAGGAACAGTGGATTTGGTTGTTCCAAGTCAGTGTGTCTTGCTGAAAGAAGCATTCGAGACAGTCCTGTCAAAGAGAAAAAAAAAACAAAACCCAAAAACAACAAACCAAAACATTTGATGAAACACATCTCCACCCCTGAAGATCTTAAGCCAGGTAAGAGAAGGGTTTGCCATGTTTTGGAGCATTCTTCCTAATCGAAGCGTGACATAGCAAAACTGACTTTACAAATACACTTGGAACACAAAGCAGCCAACGTTGGCTTCCTTTTCCCCCCAAATGAGGAAATACTTGGATAAGTGAAAGAAAACCTCATGGTTGCTATGGAACAATTTTAATATCCCTCATCCCATGGCAGCTCAGGAGTGTTGCTCCCATAACCTTACCAGCCTCTGTGGTCCACAGACCAGTATAGAAACCCCACTTCTCTTAGGACCAGTTCAAATACTATCCATTAGTGCCCAGGAAACCAAAGTACGTAAAAAACCTGTGTCTTTTTAATTACACGTGTTAGTCTAAGCCACCTATTCCCACATGAAGCAGAAACCAGGAGGAACGTATTAGAAGCCGTACCTGTAGAGAGCAGGCAGTTTTAGAAGGGATGGGCAGGGAAAGAACGGTGAAGCTCTCAGGTCTGTCAATGGTGGTCTGGCATTTCAGACAAGTGATATTGTAACTGAGTTGGCCCTCAAATAACTGTGTGATAATGGATGTTTCACTGACACTCTCTCTGCTTGCTTTTGCATTGGTTGTGCATCTTCTTTTGCTTGACTATACAGAAGGAAAAAAAAAAATTAACAAAATGTAGGTAACCCAACTGTTTCAGAAGTGCTTTCACTGGGTGTTAATGGTCGCTGCCCACTACCTGTGTAGGCTAGTGGTTACTCTTGTCACAGAACTTGGCTTTAAAATGCTATTATTTTACTTGATGTTTCATACATGCAGAGTAAGCTAAATTCCTTTTCTGAGAGAAATTAAACAAAAATATAATATTCTAGACATTAGATGGGAGTGATTTAATTGCTAGACAAGCTCTTTATCAGTGGAGCTGAAGAAGAGAAAGGCAAAAAAGGGGGGCATGGCAGACATGAAGATTTCAGACAGATGAAAAAGGAGAAGAATTTAAAGCATGGAAGGAGCAAGGAGAGGGAGAGGTGAGGATAATGGAGCTACAGACAGCGTTATCGTGTAGATGGGGGCTGCGATCTAATGTAGCATTAGACAAGAAGAAAATGAATTATTGTGCGTACGTGGTTATAAAACAAAGGAAGAAAATTATAAAACAAAGGAAGAAAATTACAGTTTTTAGCAGCCATATCATGTAGTTCAGAAGAAGAGGATAGGCAATTATTACGTGGAATGCTAAATCATGAAGTGCAAAGAGGAAACAGCTACAGTCCCCAAAACACCACAGCTGGGCTCTTGCCTTCTTGAGAGCCTCCTGAAGCTCATTCAGCACACAGATCAGAAACTCCTGTGCATCCTGCTGAGTCCTCTTGCTGAAAGCTGGGTACTGTGTCCCAAGGACTGAATGAAAAACCTCCAGGGAAACACAGTCAGACGCTCCAAGCCACATATCGGACAGCAAACAGGCAAAGGCAGCTGCAGACTTGCCATTCTCCCTTGGAAAAAATAAACTTGTTTCAGGTAAAGTATGAAAAAAGATGGTGGCTCTACCTTCAAATGGGAGCATAATACAGAAACTTAGAAAATATACACAGGTACAGTACAGCTCTGACAGCCTGTCATTTGGTTTGAGGGACTCTGCAGATACCAGAAAGTAGTAGGACTCATCATCGAGACAGCAATGACAGTAACTGGTGTTACCATCAAAATGGCAAAGAAGTATAATGTTGAAGTTACCCAGCAAGGAAATGACTCAGGGTCTCGGAGAAAGGAGAAGGAAACCAGCTTGTGGCCAATTTGATTATAACTGCCTGGGGAGCTGGTAGGTGGCTGCCTTGGGCACTCTCATGGCAACATGTACGCTTTGGAAGGAAAACAGCAGTGCCAAGCAGAAAAATAGAAGTAGTGTGAATAAATCAACTTACTCGACTGCTTTGTACTTTGCTGAGGTGAAATACTCCACAAGCAGTGGCACGCTGCAGAAGCACTGCAAAATTGCGTTCATGTAGCATGTGCTGCCTGATTCTTCAGGCCGGTGAGCCCTGGGTGCTGGCTGTTCATCTCCTCCATCAGTTCCTTGCAGGAAAACTTCACACTTTCCAAGCAAATGGAGTTGTACTTCCACCTACTAGGAAAAAAACACACAACAGTGGAAACCTAAAATGCCACAGTGTTTTTTGTATTACATTTTTTAGGAAGCAGTACTGTCCTGAGGAGAAGCTTCCTGCTGTTTCAGGGTCTGCTTTATAAGTGATATTCACATTTACTTTCATCAAGCTAATACAGTGGTAAAGACCCCCTGTCTCCCACACTAAGGTCTTCCCAATACGGTGAGATACATAGTTAAGAAATATTATTTAAATACCTGAGGTTTTAGAGTTATTCCTAAAATTCCACTCAGTCTTTGACTCCATACACGATTACTCAAAAACTATAACCAGCTCTAAATAGCTGTCTTAAGCATTTCTCCCTACAGAATGCACATTATATTTCATTTCCTCACTGGTCTGGTACTTAGATATTTCCTAAAACTGTAGGTTGCAGTCCAGATGATACTATAAATAGGTTCCTCTTTAGATTTTTACCATAAAATGCTACTTAATTCACATTAAGAAAATTTTAGTAGGTTTGTTTTCTTGCTGTACAAGTCTGTCCTGGGCCAAACTGTCCCCATCCCCACTTAGGCAGAAGAGAGGTCTGAACACAGACCCGGCACAACCCAGATGTGCTCGCTGACGTTGTCATTCCTGAATTGTTAAAGGCTGGCATTTTATTCTGATGCAAAAGGAGGGACAATGCAGAAATCTCAACTATCTTTGTAGAACAAGAAAAGCCACTTCTTTCCCTTCAGCTGAACAACATGTGCCTAGGTTTTCATTTCTGGAGATCTCCCAGGCCGACAGCCATTTTCTATCATCTAATAGCTACTTCCTTTTAAATTTTAATAACTGTAGAGTCAACATTTCCAAACAGCTCTGCCTATAGACCAGTCTCCTATGAAAATGCTTAATTCCTTCTTTTATAGCCATCTTTGAGAAACACCAGCTTGGAGGAGACAACATGTTGGGATTGTGGGGTATGGAAGATGGCTGGGAAGCCACCACCAACCTTGCAGGGAACCTGTGCTTGGCCTAGCTTGGGGATTTTGCCTCTTGCCCTCTTTTCTTCATACCATCACCTCTTCCATCCGGTTTCATGGCATGACTAGCACGGCCCCGCACGTCTGTCCTGTCCCATCCCCCGGGCTACCCTCACCCCCTCACTTTGTGATGTTGTTCTGTTCCATCAGTTCTCATCCAGGGCAACGTGCCCAGCCTGACCTGCCTCTGTCTCCTTCCTACATGCCACCCAAAACCACTTTGGGAAGAGATGGGCACCCACCCACTCCACTGGGCAGGGAGTTTCAGCCTGACTCACGTTTATTCATGTCTGCTCATACTTCTATTAGCATTTATTATTGCCATGCTCTTACGGAAGGACAGTGATGACTGAGGGTGTTGGGCATAAAAAGATGGAACTACCTCAAAACATCATGCTAAATTAGTTTATTGGTGTTTAGAAAACTTTCCTGGGGAAAAAAGGGTAGTGGCAGTGTCTTTTAATTAGCTAATGAGACAGTGTAGCCGATCTCTGAATTTCATACACCACTGAAGAGCAGCAGGTTTTCCCTATTTAACATACAATTTGGGAAGTAACAAGTATCCACAGAAGAGGCCCGGGAAGCCATTAAAAGAAATCCCTAATTATGTTGCTTGTTAAGCTTCAAGCAAAGGATGTCCCCCAGCGCTCTTTGGACAGCTTATCTGCTGTCACTGCTATCGATCTCCCAAACTGTGTACCTGCAAACTGAGATATAAAAGCAACACCCCCCCTACTATTCAAAATCTGATCTACATTTTTGTAAATGGAACTGTAATATTGTGCATAGTTTACCAAGAATTTCAAATCTGAATTACAATCCCATGGGTTAAACCTAAAACTTTTAACAAATCTAGACAAATGCCTAACTGTGTACCAATATGTAAGTATATTCACAGGGGTTTTTTTCCACCCTGAAATATTTGTTTAAAGTCTTGTTGACAAATCTTAACTAGCTAGGAATTCCATCCTGCCTCTTTCTGCAAATCTATTCAGTTCAAATACGCAAAATACGAGACTGGAATGCAATGCATTTTCCCCCATGGGGCTGTGATTGTTTGTACTTATATGGAAGTACTTTGTCAAAGGGCTACAGGTAAAACGGAGGGACAAGTACATGTTGCAGTTTTACCAAGAGGCCTGCTGCAGAGCAGCTGCGGTTGACTTGTTTTGCTTTGGATAATTGAAATACAACAGACATTTCCATTGCACATCCAGAGTATTTATGCACTCTTATTCTTATTGCTGTGTAGGTACACATTGAAGCCTGTAACACATCTGTAGTCTGTACAGATGTATAGGACTTCTGTAAATTCTCTGAAAGCCTGTTTTGATGGAGCCTCCATTCTCATTTCTATGAGAGCATCTCCAGCATTTCTGTGATTCCAAGGCCCTTGTTTATTCCTGCAGCCCTTTGGGGAAAAAAGTATGAATGAACTTCTAACAATGTACACTAATACAGAAATAAAATTCAAATGGGAACTGATTCAAATCAGTACACTAATACAGAAACAAAATTCAAATGCAAGTGTCCTGACTTGCAACATTGGAGAAAATTTCAACAAAGGACAAGAACAGTAAGGAATTCAATTTACTTTAATGGAATTTAGCCACTTAGATAAATTGTATTCAATAGGATGACTCTCCATATTTTCCCAATTTTATCATCTTTTTCATAGAATCTTAGAATGGTTTGGTTGGAAGGGACCTTAAAGATCATCCAGTTCCAACTCCTCTGCCATGGGCAGGGACACCTTCCACCAAGACCAGGTTGCTCAAAGCCCCATCCAGCCTGGCCTTGAACACTTCCAGGGATGGAGCATCCACAGCTTCTCTGGGCAACCCATCCCACTGCCTCACCACCCTCACTGTGAAGAATTTCTTCCTTAAATCAAATCTAAATCTTCCCTCTTCCAGTCAGAAGCCATTGCCCCTTGTCCTAGCACTCCATGCCCTTTGAAAAAGTCCCTCCCCAGCTTTCTTGTAGGCCCCTTCAGGTCCTGGAAGGCTGCTCTAAGGTCTCCCTGGAGCCTTCTCTTCTCCAGGCTGAACAACCCCAACTCTATCAACCTGTCGTCCCAGGACAGATGCTCCAGCCCTCGGATCATCTTTGTGGCCTCCTCTGGACTCGCTCCAACAGGTCCATGCCCTTCTTGTGTTGGCAGCCCCAGAGCTGAAGGCAGTACTGCAGGGGGGGTCTCACCAGAGCAGAGCAGAGGGGCAGAATCCCCTCCCTCGACCTGCTGGTCACCCTGCTTTGGATGCAGCCCAGGGTGCTTTTGATGCCCAGGTTGGCTTTCTGGGCTGCCAGTGCACA